AAAATAGACTATACACCAGATCATAAAGTGATTCTGAACAAATTCTATAGTATTAGAACCATACTTAGTATGTTTTCTGTGCCAAGTAAGATTAAAGTGTAACAGAGCCTATATTTTAAAAATCTTAAGGTGTTTGCTTTACTTATGTTCCTTTCTCTTTGTCCTTTTCTTCTTCCATGCATGATTGCTTGCGCTTAGTCATTTCCATAGAGAGAGAGAAGTCACTAATAATTGATTAACTTCACATCCTGACCCTTGGGAGTTGCCTACTTGATTAATGAACTTGTTTTTCATAGAACAGTAATTCTTAGGTCATGCTGACCTCCTAGATGGTGTTCAGGAGTTTGATCAGCTGAGGGATGCAAGCAGCTTTGATCACTGGGGACCTCACCTCCTGCATACTTACCTTACTCATAAAAGTCACAAGTTATGTTCAAAGCCATGTTGGATTTGAGAGTCTGCCTCTCCTCTTCTCATGCTTTGGCCAAATCAAATAAGCCTTTCTCTGCTCCTAATCAGTGATATGTCAGTGTTTGGCTTACTATGCAAAATGTACTCAAACTAGCTTTTGGGGTTTGACAACAAATGTGGAAATTAAAGGGGACAACTATAATATCTCAAAATATTTAGAGACTAAGTAGCATACAAATAAATAACTAATGGATTCAAAGAAGACATCATGATGAAAATTTTAAAACACTTTGGAAATTGGAAGTAGCATGAGAAAAAAGATGCATTACATATCAGAGATGCTTAATAAAATTAACAGCAGATTTCTCATCAGAAACCATGGAGACTGGAAGAAAATGGGATGACATATTCACAGGCTTGAGAGACAAAAACTGTGTCAATCAAGAACACTATCTCTGGTAAAATAATTCTTTTAAAATAGAGAAATTAAGACATTGCCAGATAAGCAAACACAAAGAGAGTTTGCTACTAGCAGACCTGCTCCCTAGGAAACATTGAAAAGGGTCCTTCAGGTTGAAGAGACAGAACACGAGACAGTAACTCGAATACATGTAAAGAAAATAAAGAACACTAGTAAAGGTATGGACAAAGGTAAATATAAATGACAGTATAATGTATTTTCTGTTCGTAACCCTTTTTTTTCTTGTATCTGATTTAAAAGACAACTGCATAAATAAAAAATTGTAAGTCTAAGTTGATGGGCACACAATGTAAAAAGATGAAATTTGTGACAATAACAGCATGAAAGAGACAGGAAATAGAACTTTATAGAAGCAAAGTTTTTGTATACTATTGAAATTAGGTTGGTGTTAATCCAAAATATATTGTTATAAATGAAGTTGTCATGGTAATCCCCAGGGCACCACTAAGAAAACACTATTTAAAAATAACCCAGGAAAAAAAACGTTAAACCTTTTCTACTTTAATGGATACTATCAAGCAAGTGAAAAAGGTAAAACTGGGAGAAAGTATTTGCAAATCATATATCTGATAAAGGTCAAATATCCTGAATATATACAGAATTCTTACAACTCAGTAATAGAAACAAATTTAACCGAGTTTTTAACAATGAGCAAAAGGTGTGAATAGACATTTCTATAAAAACATACAAATGGTGGATAAGCTTATGAAAAGGTATGCAGTATCACTGGACATTAGGAAAATGCAAATTCAACCCAAAATGCAATGCCAATGTATACTTACTAAGATGGTTATAATTTAAACAAATGAACAAATGTTGGGGACCCTGAAAAGATGTTAGAACTCTCATACATTGCCTGTGGACATGTAAAATCATACAACCACTGTGGAAAACATTTTTTTGCAGTTTCACAGAAAGTTAAATGTAGAATGACCATAAGACCCAGGAATTATACTCCTCAGTATGTACCATCAGGATTGAAAACACAGATTTTCACAAAAATATGTATACTTGGTACATAGCTGGATTACTTATAACAGCCAAAATGTAGAAACAAACCAAGTGTGTATCAACTGAAGACTGGAGAAACAAAACGTTTAGTCATACAACGAAATATTACTCAGCACGAAAAAGGAAGGAAGTACTGATACATGGATGAACCTTGACAGCATTATGCTAAGTGAAAGAAACCAGACACATAAGACTACATGTTGTATATTCCATTTATATGACATGTCCAGTTTGTGCCTGTTGTCCCAAAGTAATATTTAACACATACTTTTTCATGTTCAAAATTGTGCCCATTTGATAAATTGCAAGATAATCCTATTATTGTGTAAAATGTGTGGTAGAGTGTGAAGTTGTGTTTGATTGATCTGAGAGAAGATTTGTGCTACAAAGCAATATTGAATCACACACTTTTCCAGGATGCATTCCAGAGTAAGTTGCTTTAAACAAATTTGGTAAGACTAAGGACTAGGCCAAAACAAGAAACAAGAATAGTACATAAGCAATGACAACTATCATGTGAACTCTCTTCTTCTGTAAGGTACATTTATATATGTAATGATAATGACTCAGAAAGTGCTGGGAGGCAAAACTTTCCAAATAATAATCATCTCCTATTGAATAGAAAATGCATGTTACACTGATGTTTAAAAATAGTACCAGATGGTTTTGTATTGTGGATTACTGCTCTTCAAGAATGATTCTATCTAGTCCTCTTCATTACTTATAAATAAATACTTTCTAAGGACACTTCTTCCAAATGAAGATTTCATTTCTAAAACTAGTAACAATATTACTTACAAGATTCTTAGTGGAGACCTTGTAAATATACCTGTGGCTGTTTCAGGTAGTCTAGAAAATAAAGCACATTTCTTACCTTTCTTATTGATAGCTCTTTGCATCCAGAAATGCACTATTCATTTTAAATGAAATATGAGAAACTTTCTTAATTCTGTGTTACTAAAACAAAACAATTTGAATATGCTTCTATGAGTGAAAGAAAGCATATGTCTGAAGTATCCACTTTTACTACAAAAATTAACAAAAATGAAAATTGCTTGTGTTGAATATTTAAAAACCTGATGACAATAAAAATTATTTTCACTAAAGCATTCTAAAATATGATTATTAAATGAATCTCACTGATGTAACAAAAGGAAGTCTTGAAGTACCTGCTTTAGCCCCAAGCATTGTAAAGATTTTTAAGCCTATTTTGTGGAATACTAAGCAGCCATAAAAAAGAATGAGTTCATGTCCTTTGCAGGGACATGGATGAAGCTGGAAACCATCATTCCCAGAAAACTAACACAGGAAGAGAAAACCAAACACTGCATGTTCTCATTCATAAGTGGGAGTTGAACAGTGAGAACAGATGGACACAGGGAGGGGAACATCACACACTGGGGCCGGCTGGGGATGGTGGGCAAGGAGAGGGAGAGCATTAGGACAAATACCTAATGCATGTGGGGCTTAAAACCTAGATGACAAGTTGATAGGTGCAGCAAACCACCACGACACGTGTATACCTATGTAATAAACCTGCATGTTCTGCACATATATCCCACAACTTAAAATGAAAAAAAAAATGCCTATTTTGAATACTACTAAATACTTGAAGGACACTTTTTCTAATTAGAACAATATACACATTATATTTATAGTTTTTTAAAAACTACATTTTCACTTTTTCCTGTGTGACCAGCATTAGGAAAATATACTTCAGGTTTTGTGGAATCTTTTCCTTGCAATATTTCCTTATTTTTGAACTTTATGTAGCAAAGAACACTTTTCACCAGTCAGTGTTTAAAACTATTTATCCAGTTCCTTGTGGTCATAGGAGAGGGTCTGGCCTAAGAAAGATGCATGCTCAGTGAAGCTCATTTGCCTGGCATCTTCCAGGAAGAAAGTATCTGGAATCACTACAGAAGCATCCAGGAAGTTGGTCTCTGTATCTCTCTCGGTCTCTTTTGTCTTACCCACCTTGTTAGACCAGCTTCTTCCTATCAGAAGCATTAACAGAGAAATGTTTCTAATATCAAATGTTCTTAAGGTCAGAGAGAAAAAAAAAGGCAGAATACCATTTTGTCAGTTATTCCCAAGACAAATACTGTAGGAAAGGTGAAAAGCTAGGAAGAGAAAAAGAGAATATGGTTAAATGCCCTTGCACTACATTCAGAAGGAATTGGCCTAAAACAGAGCCTATATGGAAGGAGAACAAAGTTGGGGGACTGGCACCATCCAACTTCAAGACAAAGCTACAGTAATCAAGGCAGTTTGGCACTGGCAAAAAAATAAACAAATAGGCCAATGGGACAGAATAGAGAGCTCCAAAGTAGATCCACATAAATATAGTCAACTGATCTTTGACAAATTAGCAAAGGCAATACAATGGAGAAAAGCTAGTCTTCTCAACAAATGGTACTGGAACAACTCGACATCCACATGGCAAATAGTGAATATAGTTACAGACCTTATACCTTCACAAAAATTACCTAAAAATGAACTCTAACCTAAATGTGAAATGCAAAACAATAAAACTCCTGGAAGATAACATAGAAGAAAACCAAGATGACCTTGGTTTAGAAATGATGTTTTAGATATAACATCAAATAAATGATTCATAAAAGAAATAACAAAGGTTAGACTTCATTGAAATAAAAAAAAAATTGTTCTGCAAAAGACACTGTTAAGAGAATGAAAAGACAAGCTTGAAATGGGGAGAAACCATTTGCAAAAGACATGTCTGATAATAGACTTATCCAAAATGTACAAAGAACTCTTAAATCTCAACAATAAGAAATAAACAACCCAAAGACAATAAGCCAAAGATATACACAGACACTTTACCAAAAAAGATATACAGATGGCAATAAGCATATAAAAAGGTGTTCAAAATCATGACATTAAAGCAACATCATGCAAATTAGAAAAACAATGAATTATCACCACGCACATAGAAGAACTAAAATCCAGAACACTGAGAACACAGGATAGAGTTGGAGGAACAGGAACTCTCGATCATTACAGGTGGGAATACAAAAAGGTACAGCCACTTTGGAAGACAGTTTGGCAGTTTCCTTATAAAACGAAACAAACTTACCATATAACCCAGAAGTGGTGCTCCTTGGTATTTACCAAAATGAACTGAACACTCTATCTACACAAAAACCTGCACACACATGTTTACAGCAGCTTTACTCATATTGTCAAAACTTGGAAGCAAGATGGTCTTCAGTAGGTGAATGGATAAATAAACTGTGGTACATCCAGATGATGGAATATTATTTATTGTAAAAAGAAAATAAGCTATAAAAATACATGGAAGAAGTGTAAATGCATATTACTAATAGAAAGAAGCCAATTTGAAAAAAAGCCAAATGCTATATAATTCTGATTATATAACATTCTGGAAAAGATAAAACTGTGAAGGTAGTAAAAAGATGAGTGGTTACCAGGAATTAAGCAGGAGAAAGGGAGGCATAGGCAGGACACAGAGCATTTTTAGGCCAGTAAAACTATTCTGCATGTTACTGAATAGGTGAGTACATGCCATTATACAGTTGTAAAATCCCTAGAATGTATACAACACCAAGAGTGAACCCTAATATAAACTATGGATTTGGGGTGACAGCAGTGTGTCAGTGTAGGTTTATCAATTATAACAAATGTGTCACTGTGATACAAGATGTTGATAGTAGGAGAGGCTGTGCTTGTGTGAGGGCAGGCTGTATGGGGGAACTCTTTGTGTACTCTGTATACAGTTTTTGCCGTGAACTCAAAATGGCTTTAAAAACTAAAGCTTTTTTTTTTTTTCTTTTTAAAGAAAGAGTTTCTAGTTTTATCCTCTACATTCACCTAGCAATGATAAGGGTGAGCCTGGAGTTGTTTCTCAAGTCGGGGTACTAAAGAAAGAAAGTAAAGGGCTATTGTTGCCTGCCACCAGCTTTCAGATAGCCTGTCAATCAAAGACAGCTTTGTGCTATACTCAAAGACAGCAACACAGCTCCCTGTGCTGGGGTTGTTAAAGTCGTATCTGAAATTGCACTCACTCCTGTCATAGTCCTGAGGTACCAACTCTATATTTGTGGACTTCAGTTTTACTCTTTCCTAAGACTTTTTCTAGATATGTATATTTTTTTCTGGTCTGTAGTTTTTGTTCCACTTGTAAAGTGAATAAAATTTAGAAATCAAGGGTGAAAAAATGAAGAGAGCCCCTTAGAATTATTTTTTCATACATACATTTAAAAAACATGGCAATGCTCTATACTTTAGATGATAAAGTTGTTTCCCATGGGAGTATGGGTTATTAATTCTGTTATTGCTATACAGGTACACGGGGATTGAACAGTGAAGTAAATAGATGACAGATGATGATAGCTAAGTTTCTCACTGCTGGAGTAGAAATCTATAGAAAAACAAGGGGAGGAAGCTAGAATGATCCATGTGGTAGTAGGTTAGATTTGGACACTTCAGTATCAACTCATGTTTAGCTTAATATACAGATAGTTATGAATAGAAATATTTATAAATATGTGCATGTATAGGGGTAAGTATACAGACATTTATTTTCCTCTTCTGTCAGTTGAGGCAGCCTAAAAACAACCAGTTAGCAACAAGCACACCTAGCACCAAGATCTTGGTGTCTAATACCATTCTCTAGTAAAGGTAAGCAGGACTTCTTGGAGAAATCGTTGATTTGAGCACCAGGGCTGGAAATATACAAAATGACCTCAAGCATCATGGCACTTTGTTGCTCAGAAATGAAGAAGTACTAAAAGCAAAACAAACAAACAAACTGAAAACCCATAATGATGAAGTTATGTTACAAGGACAACAGAAGCAGCTCTCAATGGTCAACCTGGAACAACTAGAGCATAAGAAAAGCAGTATTTATAGCCCAAAGTATTAAATAAGTATTATATCTGTGAGTGCATATAAATGATTTAATAAATCAGTAAATGGAGGAGAAAAGACAAATCACCCATATAGAAGAATTTCAAGTAAATTATTTAGATACTCCACCCTACATGAAGGGGAGCATAGCTGTTCACTCCTTAAGTGTGGGCTGTACATAGTTACTTCCTTCCAAAGAGTACAGTGTGGAAAAGGGGAAAAACAATTATTTTATAATGGAGAAACCTGACAAACGCTACTTGGCCAGATGATCAAGGTGAACATCAGTAGTGATAAGTCATTTTGCTAGTCTGTACTGTGATCTTCCTCTCTAAGAATGTATAACCCTAGGCTAATCATGAAAAAAATACCAGGCAACTCCTAATTGAGGGACATTTAACAAAATACCCAGACAGGTACTCCTCGAAACTATCAAAGTCATCAAAAAAAAATGTAAATCTGAGAAACTGTAGCAGCCAAGAGGAGCCTAAGAAAACATGACAATTCACCAGGTACAGTGGCTCACACCTGTAATCCCAGCACTTTGGGAGGCCGAGGCAGGCGGATCACAAGGTCAGAAGTTCCAGACCAGTCTGAACATGGTGAAACCCCACCTCTACTAAAAATACAAAAAAGTTAGCTAGGCATGGTGGTGGACCCCTGTAATGCCAGCTATTTGGGAGGCTGAGGCAGGACAATTGCTTGAACCTGGGAGGCAGAAGTTGCAATGAATCAAGAACACGCCATTGCATTCCAGTCTGGGTGGCAGAGCGAGACTCTGTCTCAAAAAAAAAGAAAAAAGAAAGAAAGAAAAGAAAAGAAAAAGAAAAGAAAAGAAAACATGACAATTAAATGATTAAATGTAATGTGGTAGCCTGTATGAAATACTGAGATTTTGGAATAGTAAAAGGACAAAACTAAGGAAATCTGTATAAAGTAAGGACTTTAGTTAATATCAAAGTATCAATATTATTTCATTAATGTAACTAATGTGCCATACTATATTTGATGTTATTAACAGGAGAAGCCTGAGAAACACTGTCTGAGCTAAAGGACCAAGGTCAACATCAACAGTGGTAAGTCACATTGATAGTATGTACATTTCATATGATGTGATGTAAATAGCTTTTTACTTCTGTGATCTTTCTTACGGTATTGGGTATATGGGAACTCTCTGTACTCTCTTGAACATTTTTCTGTAAACATAAAACTATTCTAAAATAGAAAGTTTATTTTAAAAAACATGGCATTTTGTTGCTCTAGGAAAAGCGATATATAAAAGAATGTGCCTTAATGTGTCTCTGTCATATGCTTGCAGAAAGAGTAGACTTTGGAACTTGGAAGTGACTCCTAAAATAGAGTGTTTTTAAAACTATGGAACATAACCTCAATAAGATTATTGAGAATGGCTACTTGGCAAATAAGGAAACTTTTGCATCTGAGATTATTTATGATACATCACAATAGCTGTCTTAAAAATGGAAACAGATTCTCAGAGACCTAAGCACAAACAAATGATAAAGGATTGCAAGTGTAAATCTTAGGCTTCTCTAGGATGAAGAAATCTCCTTGAAAAGCCTATGTTTCAAAGCCTATCTGTGCAGGATGAATGAAAATCCATTTGCCCATGTTAATGAGCAGATTTTCACCAAATACTAATGATAAGAGTGATATCTCAGAGGATAGGGTGGCCCAGAGAATAGTTGAGATTCCTCGGAAATATAGGGCCACAGATAGCAAAACTGAGCCATGATTCAGTGATCAGGCAGATGAGGAATACAGTTTTGCAGCAAAGAGTGTGACTGAAATATGTTAGAATGAAAGATCTGAGACAGTGCTGACTAATACCTGGATGTCCATGTGAGAAGTAAAAGTCGTTGAAGTTCTAGAAGTAATCTGAATTTAAGAACTCAAGGTTTCGAGTTACAGACCTATCTGTTGCTCTCCCTCACCAGGCAAGAGACAGCAAGACTTGTAAGCCTTAATTTTGTCATCTGAAAAGTAGGAGTAATGAGGGTGCTTACCTCATAAGGTTGTCATGAATATTAAATAACATGGTTTTAAATGTTTAAAATAGTGCTGGGTATATATATGTAATAAAAGAGGACAGAGAGCTACTATTATTATGATTATGTTATTACTCATATTATTGTAAAGGATGCCTGTGTGGGGTGATAGTATAAGAGGGAAGCACTAAGACAAATTGGGGACACAGTAAGTGTTTGTTTTGGAGTCCTCTTCTCTGAAATAATGATGGTTTGGCCATGTGATGTGGCAGATAGGGCTTTCAGTCAGGTTCATGTTCATTGATGTCTGTTCCTGATTATCTGCGTGGTATTTGGATATCCAGTAAAGAGTTCTTCATATCGTCTCAGTTTAGAATTCCTTTGTTCTCTGTGTTAATAAATAAGTTCTGCACTAATTATCATAGTTAACCATTGACTGAATATTTAAGCCCACAATGGAAGCAGTCCAAATCTGCACTTTGTGCTGTAATATATTCTTTTTCTATAGCATCGTCTCTACTGAAAAGAATTTGGTGGTTACTATGTACACATACACATGGATGTTGTATGTGTTTCTAAGTTTTCCAGATACTGGTTATTTCATTCTTTCATGGGGGAAAAAGTGAGTGGTAACCAGTGACACTGGTTTTTGTTTGTTTAATTCTACTTCTAGGTGTGATGTTCCTTAGAGAGATAATAAAATAAGGACATTATAAGTTTTTGCAAAGCTCACACCTTCTGGGCCAGAGGAGCAGAAAATGCATTTAAATATATAGAGCTAAAGTCCAATATTTAGGTCTTCCAACTTAATAGGTATGTCTTAGTCTGGGTCTCTGAAAGCAGACTGAGACCATGTCTCATGTGAGGACATTGAGGTTGTATACTGGAGAGTGCCATGGCAAGGACCAAGTGTATAGGGAAGAGATAATGAAATAGGAAAGAAAAAAAGCCAATACAAGGAAGCATTATTAAGCTAGCAACCAGAGAGGATAACTAGAATTCCGTCCCACTAGATCTCTTCAGGAGCTTTATGAAATAGGTCTCGTACTGTCCACCCAAGTATAAAAGAGTGAAGCATTTATCTGCTGTCACCTGATACCTATATAGGTTAACTCCCTTACACTTCTGGCTTACACATAGGTGAGTGCTACATGTGTTTCTGGTATAGACAGGAGACAGGAAAATACTGGCTAGAAGTGAGTGGTTCCCTTGCAAAGGCCCCACCCTCAAGCCTGAAGACCTGTGGACCTAAATGAGGACAGGCATTTCTGTTTTCGCACCCCAAAAGTTGACTTTTGGCCCACCACGAGACCTCAACAGGCACACACACAAGTGGCTGAACTTTGGGACCAGCGCAAAAGACAGTGGAAAAACATGGCAGAGAAACAGAGAAGAGGAGGGATGCCT